CTCATCATCCAGCACCGCGGGTTCGTGTCCCGCTACAAATTATCATCATAAAACTCCATTTTGTTTTATTTTATTAGGTATATAAAACAGGAAAATATCGAAACATGCAGTAATAAAGGTAGATATCAATAAAAAACTTATTTTTTCCATAAAAATATTCAGAAATAATTATTATGTAAAAAAAACATAACCCTCCTTCTGGAGCAGTCAAGTAAATAATAGTAAATATCAAATGAACTGTTCGTAAAAAATACAAAATCCAGTTTTAGTTTTTCGTACTCGTATCGTAGTTTATTCAAAAATAGCCATCTAGTGAGATTGATTTGGAATGATTCAAGATTTATAGGCATCGGGTTCCCGTGTTAATAGTATTGCCAACCTAATTAAGTCTCAATTAACTGCCAAATTAGTTTTAAATGGCTTGTAAACAAGTGACCTAACTGCTTCCTATTGCTATACAAAGTTTATTATCTATTGATCAATTAATTCGCCGCAAGAACTATTTATTATATTTCAAAAATTCTCTCTCTCTCTCAGGTCACCGCCAAATGAGCGAGATCTACAAGCAGATCAAGGACGTCAAAGTATCAGACCGCTCGTTGATCTGGAACAGCGACCTCGTAGAAACTTTGGAGCTCCAGAACCTTCTCATCAACTCGGTTCAGATCGTCGAAGGAGCGCTCGCGAGGGAGGAATCACGTGGTGCGCACGCGCGTGAGGACTACAAAACTCGCCGCGACGAGTATGACTACTCCAAGCCGCTGGACGGACAGGTCAGTATAATCAAGACTATATCAATAGTTCCAGAAGTTTCTCATTCACTCGGTGTAGATCCTAGAACGAGCGCCGGCGAGGGAGAAGTCACGTGGTGCGCACGCGCGTGAGGACTACAAGACGCGCCGCGACGAGTATGACTACTCCAAGCCGCTGGACGGACAGGTCAGTATAATCAAGACTATATCAATAGTTCCAGAAGTTTCTCATTCACTCGGTGTAGATCGCAGAAGGAGCACTCGCGAGGAAGGAATCACGTGGTGCGCACGCGCGTTAGGACTACAAGACTCGCCGCGACGAGTATGACTACTCAAAGCCATTGGATGGACAGGCCAGTGTGATCGATATTGTTCTTAAATAGAGCTCCAGAACCTTCTCATCAACTCCGTGCAGATCGTGGAAGGAGCGCTTGCGAGGGAGGAATCACGTGGAGCGCACGCGCGTGAGGACTACAAAACTCGCCGCGACGAGTATGACTACTCCAAGCCATTGGACGGACAGGTCAGTATAATCAAGACCATATCAATAGTTCCAGAAGTTTCTCATGAACTCCGTTGAGATCGTAGAAGGAGCGCCGGCGAGGGAGAAGTCACGTGATGTGCACGCGCGTGAGGACTACAAGACTCGCCGCGACGAGTATGACTACTCCAAGCCATTGGACGGACAGGTCAGTATAATCAAGACTATATCAATAGTTCCAGAAGTTTCTCATTCACTCGGTGTAGATCCTAGAACGAGCGCCGGCGAGGGTGAAGTCACGTGGTGCGCACGCGCGCGAGGACTACAAGACGCGCCGCGACGAGTATGACTACTCAAAGCCATTGGATGGCCAGGTCAGTGTGATTGATATTGTTCTTAAATAGAGCTCCAGAACCTTCTCATCAACTCGGTGCAAATCGTGGAAGGAGCGCTCGCGAGGGAGGAATCACGTGGAGCGCACGCGCGTGAGGACTACAAAACTCGCCGCGACGAGTATGACTACTCCAAGCCGCTGGATGGACAGGTCAGTGTATAGTCTGGTCTGTGAGCACGTAGAATTTTGTCCAATGACCCCAAGCTGCCCATCCTTATCGCTCGCGCGTAATTATGTTGCTGTCGCGACTGTGCGACGGGCGCCCGCAGTGAGTGTGCGAGCGCGACAGCAACATAATTACGCGCGAGCGATAAGGATGGGCAGCTTGGGGTCATTGGACAAAATTCTACGTGTCCACAGACCGGGCTTTAGTCTAGATTATTTATTAGTAGCCCTAGAACCTTCCGTTAACTCGGCGCAGATCGTAGAAGGAGCGCTTGCGAGGAAGGATTCACGTGTGCGGTGGAAGACTACAAGACGCCCTGCAGCGAGTATGACTACTCCAAGAATTTTCATCCAAGATTGTTCATCAATAGGACTCCAGAACCTTCTTCAACTTGGTGCAAATATGGAGATACAGATACGAAGGCAGTAATCTTTGATTGTGATATCGTCGTAACACTTGCCGCGCGACTTACTACACAATGAATATGTCCAAAACTATTGTGTTAAAAATTACATAAATACTTTCTGTTTCTTAGGTATAATTTAAAACCAATAAAGGATACTAGGACTAACTTTTATCGGAGTACGCCTTTTGGTCGAAATCTAAATGATCCTTAATCTTCCAGACCAAACTACCTTTCGAGAAGCACTGGAGAAAGCACACGCTAGCGGAGACAGACATCGAAACCGGCGACACCAAGCTCACGTACCGGCCCGTCATCGACGCCACGCTGGACGGCGGCGAGTGCAAGACCGTGCCGCCCGTCATCAGGACGTACTAACGCGCCCTCTAGGTACGTACGAATCCGCCCCTCGTTCGTTTGTTTCAGCCAAATGACGTCTACTGCTGGACAAAGACTTCCACAACAACTGGTCCGCATGCAAGCGGCCGCGCCTCCCGCGACCTTCACCAGACGTCAAAATGTATGGGAAAAATCGATAAAATGGCGTGATAACCGCTTATCGCGGCGCGCATCTTAGGATCGTCAGTCCACCTAGTGGGGGGCCTGCCCACACTGTCTTCCGACTGTAGTCGCCACTCGAATCCACTCCTAGCGAAGGGCAATCATTACACGGGTCCCTGTTTTCCTCAAAAACGGGGCCCTGTCTAGTCAGTGACAAGTGTACACATTTGCAGGCTGCATTAATCTTTTTAATTGCAAGTACTATTAAGGGCCGGTAAATCTATTTTCATAAATTAAACACTGGATACTTAACTTGCATATTAATTTGCCTCATTTGAAAATATACCATAAATCACTTAGCATAAAAGCGTACGGAATCATCCGCGCGTCCTTCTATTCTATATGACGTTTGTGAGTGACATTGACATTACTGACAAGACAACAGCTATAGATGACCCACGCTGAACTGTCCCACCAAACTCAATGACAGGGGGGCGCTACCATCGTTCAACTATATGGTTTCCAACATGGCAAAAATCTGAACCAGCGATCCGGTATTGACGGTGGCGCCCCACTGTCAATGTCATCGACAGGACAGTCCAGTATTTTGGAACTATAACGATATTTTAACGTTTTTTGACAGACATATTGTAAAACAGGTGTTTAACCCCAAAGCTACCGCCCTAGGCATGTCAGTGAGCCTGCCAGTGAATCCGAGGGTTGCACTAACGCGCGCTGGCTAGGCCAGGGGACATCAAACTGCCTCGCCGACCCGTCACTATCTTAAACTATTGTATTAATTAAAACAATAACAAATTAACAAATATAGATCATTTAGAATTTGTAATAAACAAGACCTCGTTCTATTTAACCAAAAAAACATCCAACATAGTTACCATTGTTTACAAAATTCATCTTGATTGACGTCATTGGAAATCTCGTTCCTAGGTTTCCTTATTATCTGACCCTGCACTTATCGTTTTCAATCTTCATCCAAAACAAATGTGGAGCTAATGCAGTAACCATCAACGAAAAACTTAAAAAATATTAAAAAATCATACTTTTGCCAATATTTTATAACACGTAGGAACTTTTATAAACGCAAACTTGGTGATAATCTTGATAATTTCTTTTCAGGTAATATTGATGTTGTCGGGTGCTGACTGGGCTGATAAGTATATCGCAGGCACAAGCGTATTCTGGCCTGGACCAACCATGTTCATTCGTTTATTTAAATGTCATTTATTTATTACTTAGACTAGCCTCATTAAGCGTTACGCAACCGCAAGAATACTCCATAAATTAAATAATAATCCTTGTTCCAAAGCTATGTACAAAATGTTATGTGCCACTCGTGTTGTTACCATTCTTGTTTAAAGGTTGTATTCTCGTTATTACCACAGTTGTATACATTTGTATTGCTATAGAATGCAGCATTTATTATGGTTTAAATGTTAATGACCTCAGCAGCACCGTAAGGTACTTAAATGTAGTCTTTTAGAAAAAAATGTGTCTTGTACATTGTAAGTACCCAGAATGAATATCATTGTAATCATGGATGTTTCCGTTTAGTAATGTTAATGACTAGTTAATTATGACTAAATGATAACTACAGCTTAAAATCTTTGCTTGGAAAAGTGACAGCGTGAGATTTGACTCTCGGTGAAAAATCAGAAAATATATTTTATTTGCATTTGCGAAATCGATAGCAATTTTTATCGTCTTGCTAATGCAAAAAATAACCCCACAAAATCAAGATGTGTCATGTTGTAATTTTATTTTAAAGACATGTTTGTATATAAATAATGCACAATGCCAACATACGTAAGTCTGTATTTTTGTAGTTTTCATTTAGTCGACTTTTTATGATATATTTTCTGTAACTCACGGAATAAAACTACAATAATATAATGATCTACAATTGATTTGAACAGGCACATGTGATAATAATATGTATATTACTAAATATTTGATATTTTTATGTTTAAATTGTGTTCAGTATTAAAATGAAATTAAAGATCATTAAGGTACAATTTTTGTGTAGTTATAAGCGTACTGATGTGAATATATGAACTGATGCACACTCATTGTTACGTTTTCTTTATAGAATAAGTTGCTTCCACCTACTTTCTAAGGCAGTTTTGCCCTTTCCCTTTTGAAATATGATGTTCACACGAATAATCCATAACGCCTACACATAGTTAACTGCAAAAATGTATAGCGTAATATAATCTGCAACTTTGAATTGGATTTTCTAATTATTGTATAGCAGCACAGCCATATTATTACTTACATAGATATTTGTTGTTTGTTATGTGTAATCAAATTGATCAATCATAGACTGCTAGACTGTATTATCAATGTTTTGCGGAAATTTCAACTTTATGCGTCGATGTGATGTAGCGCACGTATGAACAGTGTTCGTTGAACTGGCTTGTTAGCCGCTGGCCTTTGTCTTCACCGCACCGTTAGTTATCAAGCAGCCTACCTAGTCCAAATTAGATCAAACAGGCAGAGGCCAAATGACGCGATAATAAATAACTTGATATCTATCAAAACGAGTTCAGTGAAACTTAAAATTAATGTTGCCAATTCACTAATAAGTGAAATGGATACCCAAATACCCAATACCCATTACAGAAAAATACATAAAAAATCACATATTTTATTATACAGGGTTTCATAAACTATTAACTACTCAAATAAGTCCCATTTTGTTACATATTTTTTTGTACTTTTTATATCACGATGCGAAAGATCGAGCTGCAACATTTGTGAACATAAAGCAGTTAAAAACATGAGTGTTGTTGATCAAGAGCTTAGCTAAATGTAGCTACAATAAAAAATATAGTATGCACATAATCAATTTTAATGTAGTTAATTTTATATCTCTTCACCTCAACTTGCCATTTTATCGGAAGGTGTTGTATTGATTTTTGGTGATACTAGATCTCATGACGTAAATAATTTTTCCTGCGTGATTTATTGTCCAATCGGATGATAGGCGTGTTCTCAAGTACAATTTATTTCCCGTCGAGCGATAAGTGACTCTCCAATGCGATTTATGAGGTCCAGTGGGGCAAGTTAGTACCTACTCCAGACTCCAAACCGTGTTATCAGTGAATAATGAAGTATCGCCCAATACTATTTATTAGGCACTAACCAGACTATAAAGTTTAAGGAATTAATAATACTTCGTATAATTTTTTAGAACCGATTAATCAATCGGTAACACAATCGTGTAGTGTACCATTAAAGTAATAACTCAATGTAGTGTACATATATATTCACATAAAGCTGACCGATGTACTGAATTGTTACATTTTAACTACCAATGCTGCAATCTTATTGGATACTAGCTTTCCGCCCGCGGCTTCGCCCGCGTGGAATTTTGTCTGTCACAGAAAAACTTTATCGCGCGCGTCCCTGTTTCAAAAACCGGGATAAAAACTATCCTATGTTCTTTCCCGGGACTCAAACTATCTCTATGCCAAATTTCATCAAAATCGGTTGCGAGGTTTAAGCGGGAAAGCGTAACAGACAGACAGACAGACAGAGTTACTTTCGCATTTATAATATTAGTTGGGATGCTGATAGCATAGTTTGCCCTGTTATGACGTATGCCACCTTTATTATCGCATGTTCATACAAAATGATACCAAATCGCGCCGGCGAATACCTAAATTAGGTCTTACCGCTTTTTATAACGTTTTAAATTTACCTTCTTTTATTTTAGTACTATTATCCCTAGTTAGTGTTTTGCTTTTGTTTGTTTTCTTTTAAACTTCTATGTGCTTGTAATCTGATAGCTCTGCCAGTTGGCATCACGCCAAAATACAGGGAGTCAACAATTTTTGGGCTGCCAATCTAAGGAATGAGAACGTAATAATATCATCTAAGTAGCTGCATAACTAATTCAGTCTTCATTAGGCTAATAAATACTAATGTCTACTAGGAAAACTAGATGCACAGTATTAGCAAATTCCAAACCAAACCTTAAACTTATTTGTTTTTAATAATATGTAGGTTTCTGCAGTCGATCACCGTTAGATTAATGTAATCTATTATTGCACGATCTTCATCCATAAAAATATTGAATAACGTATTTCGTAGATTCTACAACATAAATATTCAGTGCATAAATACCTAGGTACGAGTAGGTACAGTGCATTGTAAAGAGATACCAATTCAATAATGTTATAATTTTGAACTGCTGCAATTATCAATCCACATTTAAAACAGTCTTTGTGCGCTCGTTTGGGGTGTCCAATAATCGTGTTATCTGTAACGAGTTCTCGTATATTAAGAAATTACGTTCCTGGCAACTGATAACTCTGGGGTCACCGGTTCATGTCGCAGCCATTTTGTAGTGGTATCTCTGGCGTGTCCCGGTACGCTTGTGTCCATACGTGATCGAGGCGACTCACTTGTATCTTTCCATTTCCCTATTGTGAAGTTTCATGGTGCTGCTTGGAAACACCATCTGGTCTCGCGGTTACGGTGCCTGCAAGGCTCCCATCAACGGCGCAGTTAAAATTGATAAACTCAACACTCTGACGATTAAGAATCTACTGTTCAATCTGTGTAAAGGTAATATTATACGAAGGAAGTCGTACCTTGACCTTATTTTACTTGTTCATCTTCAACAAATCAATCTTAGCTTACTTCTTACATGGTATTACGTAAATTTAAGAGAGTAAAAAGATATCTTTTAGACCTGTCTGATTGGCTTTGTTCAGGACTTTGCCCACATTGACTTTGGAATGACTTGTAGGACGTAGCTGAGCGAATCTAGATCTTTGTCGAGGGAATAAAAACTTTCAACACTCACTATCATGTTTCGGTTGAAAATGGCGCCTATTTTTAAATCCCATAGCAATGTATTCTTCTGTTTAAATTGTTGGGAGCCCTGTAGTTGTCTGTTTTACTTTTATTTAGGTAAAATTGGCATATGAAAAGACTGCAGTAAATTCCAATTTGAAGAAACTTTTCCGTAGGAAAGTCATGCGCAGAATCGACATAAAGCATTGGAAATTGCTTTAGCGATATGAGTTTTATCTTCTTTACCTACGTCATTCATTAGGTAATTCATTTTCATTTTCGCTATCTAATGGTTAGTCAGTCAAAACATAAAAAGGGCTCATCTTCGACCTGATAGGTATGTATCTAATTCTTTAACTAAGTAGGTATATGACCTAAATAGTTTCACCAGGTTTTAGGTGCAAAGTATTTTTAACAGAATTTTTTAAAAAGGAGGAGGTTCTATGTTCGGCTGTATGTATTTTTTTAACTACTTTTATTTAGTTTTGAAGACCAGTTAACTCTATTGGTAAGTAGTCCTACATGTGTAGGTAAAAAAATTCAAAGGGCAAGTAACTAAATTATTGGGTGTTTCTGGCACCGTTTTCAATGTCAAAGATAATATCGGACGATCTATTGATAAAAATTATAAGTACATATCTACTACGATAAAGGGATAGAGTTAAGCATAATCAAGTCAAGAAAAGCAGCCTAAAAGGATGTCAGCAAAAACTGCTACTCAAAATATCTAAATTAAATTAAATGTAAATTTCTTATTATTTCAGCCTGTCAAATAAACACCATGTCCGCGTTCCCTCCCTCGGCGTTCTCTGCTGCCCGTATCCGGGAGACTCAGCGTGACCGGGACATGAAGCTTGCCAATAATATGAAAAAAGTTAATGATTCTACGAAATTTTTCGAAACAGCATGTGAGTATTTTACCTACTTACTTATTGTAAGGGTATATACACTCGACATCAAATAAATCGCACCTCCCGCGACAAGCACTTTCAAACGTATGCATCCCCACTTCCCACCAATATTGGCACCATTTCAAAACCTAGTTCTAACCTTCATTTCATTAAAGGAAAGGTTTTTACCCCAAAAATGTGTCTTTAGAAGGATCCAGAGTCACTTCTTCAAAAAATAGGTAGTTACGTTTGAGCCAATTTTTATGGCTATAAAACTGTTAAGTTGGGATTAATCGCTATCCATCTGTTAAAAAGGACACGTGAGATCATTATTTGGTTTTATAACCATAAATATTAGTCCAATTGATCCCAGAGGTGGGCCCAAAGTGAGGTATTTATTCAAGTCACATTTATGGTATATGTTAATCATTTATTAAGAAATTAAATGTGTTTTTCTTAAAGGATATTTATTGGGCTTTCAAATAACACCAATATTGTTGGGGCACCATGATTGTGTCAGAAGAAATTCTTTAAAGTTCGCGTCGCGGAAGGTGCGGATTATTTGACGTTGAGTATATTATTGAGAGTTATATTATTTGCCGAAATGCAAACAATTACCTATACTAGTGTATTTAAAATAAGTAGGTACATTATATTTTCAATAAACTACCCAATCCAAGCCTTTCTAGGCATGTGAGGAGTGTAGGCCGAAATCCTCCATTAGATAAATTGTAGGGGAGTTGTGCTCCTGCAATGGAGACTAAATGACCTTAGCTGATGATAATTTAACATTAAAATAATTCCTAAAATAACATTCTAGTTGGAGAGTTATCGCCGCTCAAGTACAACAGCAAGCTAATGAACAGCATCTGGGGCCTATACAACCGGTACTCGCCACACAACGTCAAGAAGATCAACGAGGCTTTCGTTTTCAATGGAGATTTGCAGCAGTAAGTAAATTTCTAATAGGTATAACTGTAGATAAAGGAGTAGACTTCCACGAGTATACATAGATCGTTTCATCCACGAAGACGCGCCCCACCATTCTTTCGCTAATGTTTGAGTGTTATCTGTATACGCTATCCTGTCCATGACTAGCGGCCGCCCGCGACTTCGTACGCGTACGCCCCTTTAGGGGTGGAGTTTCGTAAAATCCTTTCTTAGCGGATGCCTACGTCATAACATCCACCTACCTGCACGCCAAATTTCAGCCCGATCCGTCCAGTGGTTTGGTTGGACTGTGCGTAGATAGATCACTGTGTCAGTCAGTCAGTCACCTTTGAGTTATATACAGGGTGGAATTTTGTAATGCCACCTGAAGGAAAAGTACTCTTAATACTGTAGATAGAAAATTGTACCTACTCAAAGAAAACATTCCTTTATTTTTTAAAAGAAATAGAACTGCATTCAACGATTTCCAAAAATTTGCTTGCTACACCCGGATATCGAACCAACTAAAATATGGAAAAAAAGTATAAGGCTGAAATCTCTCAAACAAACTTGATAAATCAAATGAAATGAAAACCATGTAATCTTAAATTATTGTAATTAACAGAAAATTGTATGGTATGGTGGTAAATTTTCGAAAATCTTTCAAAGCAGTTCTTTCTTTTCATAAATAAGGAATGTTTTCTTTGAGTAAAATTTTCTATCTACAGTAATATGAGTATTTTCCCTCTAGGTGGCATTACAAAATTCCACCCTGTATATTTAGATTACACACGCACACTACAATAATGACGCTCTGATTGCTCGGATCAAACTCCCCGCACCCCGCGCTTCCCTCGACCAAAAATTGGTGGGGGTCTTCGTGGATGAAACGATCTATAACGTATTTTGTAAGAAAAACGAAGCTGTAAAGAAATCCCTTCGTCGAGATGGTTCCCAGTTTGTACAGTTGTGACATGTAAATGTTTACTTTTTACATTTTACGTTTGTGACGTTGTTTTAGTTAATAATTAGAATAAATAAATAACTATTAAGATGAAGTGCCTACATATCTAAAGGTCAGCCATCTGCTATACCTACATAAGTACTTATTGATAAATAACACAAAACTTTCAGTGTCATGAAGGGTCATCTAGTTTCCTACTAAGTTTTTGCGTGAAAGTTTGTCACTCTTTCACGCAAAAACTACAGAAGGGATTTTGATGAAACTTTACAGTATTATTGTTTACTAGCGGCCGCCCGCGACTTCGTACACGTGGATCCCGTTTTACCCCCTTCATCTATCTTACGCGGTTTAGATTTTTTCATACAAATGTTTTTTCCCGCTAACTCCCATTCCCGTGGGAATTTTGCAATATCCTGTTGTAACTAAGCTTTAAGTTTACTAAGATACCTGCATGCCAAATTTGAAGCGTCTAACTTAAGCGGTTTAGATTTTTCATACAAAAGGATTTTCCCGCTAATTCCCGGTCCCGTGGGAATTCCTAAGTATACTATAACCTGTCCAGGAGTACGAAGAATAATTGTACCAAGTTTCGTTAAAATCCGTCGAGTAGTTTTTGTTTCTATAAGGAACATACAGACAGACAGAAAATTTTTACTGATTGCATTTTTGGCATCAGTATCGATCACTAATCACCCCCTGATAGTTATTTTTAAAATATATTTCATGTACAGAATTGACCTCTCTACAGATTTATTATAAGTATAGATAATTGTTTATAACCCAGAATAACGTAAAGGCTATAATTTATGACGATCTCTGACAAACGAAATTTCACGCGGGTGAAGCCGCGGGCAAAAGCTTACGTAATAAAATAAATAATAATTACTCATATTATAGAATTAATGAGTTAGTTGACCAATTAATTATTTGACAGTACCTACTTAGTTTGCTAATTTTATTTACTTTAATCCTGTTTTTTTTTTTCAGATCTGCTGCAAACTCCATTAAAAACGGGGAAGCAGTGATTAGCCTGCCATCCCGACCCCTAGACAACGTATGGGCTACAGTTAACGTATCTCAATCTCATTAATTAGTTATTTACTCTTTAAATACACGTTCGTGTTATTGTATATTATCTTCTCGACATAAATAAAAAGCATTTATTTCGCTCTCTGTACACATTATACAGTTGGTTTTATTTTGACTATATTATCGCTATAAAAAGGCCCCTCACTATCACTACATCCATGGACATTCAAGTTTCTCTCTTTTTTTTCCCTAGGTTCGATTCCTGAATGGGACATTCACACAGAAGCCTAACAATAACTAAGTATGCTTAATCGAAGGTAGGCAAGAAAGATATGAAAATTGAAGCAACCTCTCGGGAGATACTGTTATGCAACTCGCAACTTTAACTAAAAACGGGGAAGCAGTGATTAGCCTGCCATCCCGACCCCTAGACAACGTATGGGCTACAGTTAACGTATCTCAATCTCATTAATTAGTTATTTACTCTTTAAATACACGTTCGTGTTATTGTATATTATCTTCTCGACATAAATAAAAAGCATTTATTTCGCTCTCTGTACACATCATACAGTTGGTTTTATTTTGACTATATTATCGCTATAAAAAGGCCCCTCACTATCACTACATCCATGAACATTCAAGTTTCTCTCTTTTTTTTCCCTAGGTTCGATTCCTGAATGGGACATTCACACAGAAGCCTAACAATAACTAAGTATGCTTAATCGAAGGTAGGCAAGAAAGATATGAAAATTGAAGCAACCTCTCGGGAGATACTGTTATGCAACTCGCAACTTTATCAAAAGTAATAATTTAAGGCTTGGTTGCACCATCTCTCTTTAAATAAAAAACGTCAAAAGTCGGTCAAACTCCATACAAAAGGAAAACAAAGGATAAAGTTATAGTGGTTTTAGTCAGTGGCGGCGTAGCATGACTTGGCACCCGGGGCGATCATGCTCGGGGCTATGGCACCCCAGAATGGTCAGGTCTGGTAGCCCCCAGGATACCGATTCGAAGATGAAAGATGTACGAATCAGTTATAATNCCCGTATCATGATCTTTATCATGCAGATGCGCCAGTGAGTACTAATCTGCGCTACTTTTGTCACCCCCTGATGCTTGGCACCCGGGGCGGACCTTCTTAATGAAACTTCGTATTTATGCTTTTGATGAGTGTGACTACTAATGCAGATAAAAAAAATACCTTTTCCCCCTCCATACCCCCCGTTCCGCGAACTTTTTGACCTGCCTACTTACAGGTTTGTAGTAGTTTGTAGTAACTTTGTACGGAACCCTCAGTGCGCGAGTCCGACTCGCACTTGGCCAGTTTTTTATTTATCCTACATTCAGCACTTTACTTCTGTAATTATAATGAAAAAACAAGCAATCAATGAAATATTTTAAGTAATACAAATAAAAGGGTTTTGGGGAAAAAATATTGTTTACTGTAGCGTTTCCTGTAAACAGAGGTGTCAAGTGAGTGCGAGGGTACAAAAAGGGTACTGTGCCGCTCACTAACACATCTAATTTTGTTGCTTTTGTAAACGGTAGTTAAGATATCCTTGTAATCAACACTTTAAAAAACAACACTTGGTTTTTTCCAACAACTGTTTATTATCTACTTTTTATCACAGAAATTACTTAAATTACATATCATACTGACTAGCCTACCATTTTTTAAGAACTTTTTAATCATTTGAATGAAGCACTATTGTAGATAAGTAGGTAATGTAAAAATCAAAGTTTATAACTTAATAGTGCAAGTGTGTCTTCTACAAATATGGGTTTCTAAAAAATATAAATTAAACCTATTTATTAATCATAATTTATATAGCAATAACAAAATGTTGTTATGAAATGCAACATTCATTATCAATAAATTAAAATTATACATTAAAACCTGTCTTCTATTATCTGAACCATTTGATCCAAACCATATCCTGATTTCTGAAACTATTTCAATCAATTTTGATTGAAAAGCTTGCACCGCATGAACACCCAAGATCAGCATTAGGATTTTGTACAACTCTGAATGCAGATCTTATTAGCTCTGTATGGTAATCAACGGTAGAACCTCTGATATAATCCAATGATGTTTCATCAATTACCACTTTAACACCATCTCGTTCAAACACCCTGGAACAATTTAATATTCATTTAATAGGGCTTGTTATTACAGCATAATAACAATATACAGGGTGTCCCAAAAACAATGGATAACCCTGTAACCATCGATAGGCCTCGCCATGATCTCCCTAACGTCGATTTTTGACCCCAGTAAAAATATCATCGTAGGACGTCCACCTATAAAGTGGACCGACGACCTCATAAAGGTAAGCAGGAAGGTGCTGGATGCAGGCCGCTACCAAGCGGTCATTATGAAAATCATTGGGGTACAGGCCTATGTTCAGTAGTGGACGTCCTATGGTTGAAATGATGATGATGATAAAATGTTGTTTTATTAAAATTCCTATGCTAAAAGTTATCCATTTGTATTTAATGCGACTATGCAGTCCTAGTTTAACTATTACGAGAAAAACTCATTTTTGCAGTTTTCATACTAGTTAGTATTCAAGTAGCCGTAAGATAAAAATAATACAGAATACATAATGGGCACGATGGTCTTCCTACATTTTTTTTACACGATGGCTGATCAAAAGTGCAAGACAATGAATTAATTTTTCCTTCTTCTCAGCAATTTATTAAAATTTTCATACTTTTAAACTAGTCTGTTGAATTTTAATCTTTTCTTTTGATAGCCCAACTATCCCTTGTGATAAGGAAAAAAACTAGATTGAAAAGTATCCTCATTTGTAGAAATGGCATGAGAAAAAGTAATCGCAGGTGTCAATTTTCTAAAAATGCACAAAAACTTAAAAATCTTGAAAACGGTGATATTTTTACTGGGGTCAAAATTGGACGTTAGGGAGACCATGGCGAGGCCTATCGATGGTTACAGGGTTATCCATGGTTTTTGGGACACCCTGTATGTATACAAATAAGATGTTTGATGGTTTAAAACCAGTTTAGAGACTGATTTATAGCAACTATCAAAGTAATGTAGGACAAACTTACAAAATTAGAGTTCTGGTAAAATCCTTACAGTGAAAGATTTCACTACTAAACTTCTTAGTTGAGTTTAACCTTGTCTTAAAACCTTTCTAAATAAATAAAAACTACCCACTAACCTATCGTCTTCAGCAATTTTATTGTCGAGATCAAATTTATACTGGAAACCAGAACACCCTCCACTTTCTACACACAGTCTCAAAAAGTTATTGTTGCCTTCGCATAGCTGTTGTAATTTCTTCGCACAATTTTCACTGATAGTTATTCCTTCACTCTGAGAGGATGAGTTGACTTTTTGTAAATATGAAATTCTACAATAATTTACCCCGAAACCAAGTAACCGTCTGGATTTCAAAAACATTTTGAATCGGTACACCAATAAACTAAGTTTCTGTACGCATAACCTAATGTTACGAAACAGGTGAAAAGAAAATTATAAATCCGTCTCTGTCTGTAGACAGTTAGACACCAGGGTGCGGAAACTTCCATACTACCATAGAGAAAAGTAATACATGGGTCATTCTAAGTTAAGAGGTAATGTGTTGTATGGAGCGACGGCACGGCATTTTTTTAAATATTTTTACTTAAGTATATATCTGTTTTATGGAAACCTTTAAGTTGAAAATGTTTACAAAGTGGCCAGTCAATTTGTTGGTTTTTTCTCGTTTTATAAGCGACCAGGGTAAATACTCAGTCCAGGGTAGAGACAAGGTGCACAGGGGAGGAAACATTTTGGACAGGGAAGAGACATAGACATACTAAAAACAGTGTTATTTTTAGGAATCAACTTTATTTATCTATTTTAATTTTAATTATGAATTATTTATAATAAGACTTTTCATTTTTTAGCAAACTTTGTTAACAAAAATGTTTTTTAAGCCTAGGTACAAAACATAAAAAGGTTCTTCCATTTACTTTACATCAAAACAATTATCAATAGTCAATAACGAAATAAAAGAAACAAAAACTTCTCTGAAACAGTATTGAACTTTTCTTGTACTTAAAAAACCATTTGAATTGAGAATTTGAGAGGTAACAAAAAAAATCTTTATGTAATACCTGTGTTCAAAGACATCAATAGATTCATTAAAGCATAAAAAAATGCTGCCCTCTCAATTTTAACTTAGGGTAGGGTAGTTTATTTAAAACCTGATCCCAGGAGATTAAAGAAACATCATTATCAATTATTCATCATCATTATTTCAGCCATAGGACGTCCACTGCTGAAAATCGGCTTCCCCCAATGATTTCCACAATGGCCGGTTGGTGGCGGCCTGCATCCATCCCTTTCCTGCTACCCTTATGAGGCCGTCGGTCCACCTTGTGGGTGGACGTCCTACACTGCGCATTCCGGTACGAGGTCTCCACTCCAGAACCTTGCTGCCCCATCGGCCGTTAGTTCTGCGTACTGTGTCATGGCCTTTGCCACTTCAGGTTGCTTGATTGAAGACTTTTGTCTATAGGCACTGAGGTATTTTGGACGAAAAGATTTTGCGTAGTTTCCTTCACAGAAACAGTGACTTTAGCAGGTGTTTATGGATAATCCAAAGTAGGTACCCAATTCAAAATGATGACATAACTCTGGAGTCACAGAAGCATCTCAAACTTTTTATAATGTCAGCCAATTAGGTTAAAATGACTTCGCAGTCGGCTTATGCGCCTCTTGTTGATAGCTTCACGTTAAATCCTATGCACTAAAGGCCACAACTTCCACAAAATAGTAAAACAAAACTGATTTTTAAACAAAAACAAAAAGCCAGGGGACGAGACACAAAATACGGAGGACAAATTTCGGCATTGATATTATTTATGAAAAAATTGAATTTATGTAATTTGACTTATAAGACAGTGTTCCTAAGTTATTGTTCTGTATAAAATTAATGATGATGAAGTAATTATTTAATTTTAATACGTTCATAATAACTGGTTTACAAATAAAGTCGGGTTTGGGACAGCCCAGGGGAGTGACTTTTTTCTTGTATTAGAACTTATTGTGACTAAACTGTGTACATTTCTGTAATAAAATTAAGTGAGCATGTAGAAGACATTTAGTTTTAAGCAATAAATAGGTTAATTAGGTAGTTAGAATAAAAAAAATGTACTTTTTTGCCCTTGCCATCGAAAGTACCTCTTAACTTAGAATGACCCACATAGGAAATAGAGAGCCCTCTCTGTCAAATTTTTGTACCTACTAATTGACAGCCTGGTGTTAAATTCCCTGTACTTAACCTACGTACGTAACGCTCACATACATACATAGTACACGCACACATACATACATAAAGTCCACGCACACATACATACATAAAGTCCACGCACACATACACACAGTTCACGCACACAAAGGCCCTCATAACCTTCAAAGAATTATTGTTTTTATGATGTACAATGTAGATTTTTTTCAAATCCATTATTTTGAAAGTATTTATCTTTATGGTGTACGTATTGTATTATTTTCAAAACAATGGATTTGGAAAAATTCTACATTGCACATGGAAATGCAAATAAGATACACTATACAAGAATGCATGGTAAATTCAGTGAACTGCTCCTGAATCGAATGTACCTACTACTGCTATTTCTATTTATTTATATTAACCGGCAGACAGTGGTGACTGAGTTTGTTGCGGCGCTTCTTCTCAGCACTTGCCAAATGTTGGTCTCGAAGCGCTGGTAGGGTAAAAAGATTATGAGACATGTAGAGGCTCCTTAAGAGCAAAATGACGATTTGTAAGAACTATTTATTAGTCTAAACAAATAAAGAAATTTTGACTTTGACTTTGACTTTGAGTACATGAAATAGAATAAGGGCTACTTGTGTTAACAAGTTCACACTCTTATAAACTTAAAGGTGACTGACTGACTGACTGACATAGTGATCTATCAAAGCACAGCCCAAACCACTGGACCAATTTGGCGTGCACGTAAGTAGATGTTATGACGTAGGCATCCACGAAACCTCAAAAGGATTTAACGAAACTCCACACCTAAGGGGGTAAAACGGGATCCACGCGTACAAAGTCGCGGGCGACCGCTAGTATCTACATATAGGTACTGTTTATTAAATAACGACGTACCAAATCGACAAAGAAATATATAAATAACAACGTTTCACTGTCTCGTAATCTAATAAGATGTAATATCTAAGGCATACATGATATCACGCAACTGGCAAACGGTGCGAATATGACGATACGTTGTTAATTACCTATGCCTCTCAATCACAGTTCTGAGAAAATACGTGAGAAAGATCTTTCTAATTAAATGAGTTTCTCGTCACGAATTGAGTTATATAGACGGTAATCTAATAGCGAAACAACTGAGGCAGTAATATGATGTAGGGTTTCAAGTTCCTTAACCTTTTTTTAGCACGAGTACTCGTATAAGTATAAAAACATACATCACCACTCAAATAAAGACAAAAATAAGCAACAAAAAGTATGTGACAAAAGGGCACCCACTCTAATCTGATGGGACATTTAAATCTGATATCCTGAAATTTGTTTTCAGTGAGAAACCCATTCGATATTACGCGCCCTGCCCTGTCATGAAGGCGAAGCGAAATAGCTCTTTTTTTTTTTTAATGGCAACCAAACCTCTCTGGGAGGTTTATTTCTGCCAATGTCGAGTGAAAAATAATTGACAAAGTTATCAATAGAACGTGGGTGTTTCAGTTCTATTGATTTTTCATGGATTCCGTGGAGTTAAGTATGCCCGTAAGCAGGTTTCGAGACGCCACCGGGTCCAAAGCGGGTTGTTCATACGACAACCCACTCGACACTCAATGCGCGCTCAAATTCGAAGTATTTCAATGTTTTTCATAATTTATCACTTCACTGCACTTTAGAACACAAAATAACACCAAATTTGTACACTAAAGTCCATTAAATAATAAATTGAAACCATTAAAACAGATCGACCATGCTTCCCGTTCAACTACCCTCCACGGAAGCCGCAAAAAGTTCTGTTTGACAGTGTTGCTACTAGTGACATCTCGCTCGCTCAGTTCTTTGTTGCTCTATTCCGCTAGGCTTGGGAGGTTATTTATGATGGGAGGTTATCTATCAATTGAAAGAAGATTTTCATGTTCTTTTATTTTCCTATATTATAAGCATAATTGCATAAAAAAGTAAAATAATTTCGTTTAAATAGAACCGACTAAAAATTAAACTGACTCCGAAAAAGTATACACTAAAAGTAGAAAAATAATTTTACGTTATCTCCAATATTGTTGAAGTTATCGCTGGAAAACTAAACAAAGTATCGTATATTTTTAATTTAATATTAATCAGTAATCGGAATAAGTGAATACTTAAAATAATATCGATTAAATTTACAGATTATTGTCTATGACTCACAGGTTACAGCACTGATGTGTCAGAGACAAGTCATAGACAATATGGAGATAACACATGATTTTAAACGTCAAGTCAATTTGACAAGTCTCACAAATTTTCATCGTCCACGTATTTTTTGTTTCAAAGATTGATTTCAAACTTATATAAACATGAAAATGAAGTTGGTTTCATGGGCTTGTTAAATATTGTGTATGATATTATGAACACGTAAGTGATTATGGTGTAATTGTGTATGAAAGTGTTTGTTTACATCTCTGCTGGATTCTAAAAAATCAAGGTATAGTAGATTTAAGTGCCTCCCCACAGATAAGTGTGCCTGTGTGCCTCCCCATGGAAAAAATTGAAGAGAAACATCAATGTTAAGGATGTGCTTTGAAACAATATAATCGATTAAAATTATATCGATGTAATTTTGATTGCACTTGAATTGTAAAAAGATTCAAGTTAATGTCAGTTAAATTGATACGAAATTTAGAGTGAAGGTTATACCTTCCTTAAAGTAACCATTTTTAAAAATGTGAACATAAAGTCGGGGTGCCCCATTATAACACACAATCAACAAAAACATGTCAACATTCAACATTTTTTGCAGGCAAATTTGTTGAATGTTGTCATGTTTTTGTTGATTGTGTAAGGCAAAACGCGTGGAGACCCGGCTTGACACGACCAATACCAAGAAAAAATTCAGTATACATACTTAGTAAAATCAATGATTAATATTGTTATTGTTTGTTACTAATATACACCACAAAATATAACAGAAGGTAAACTCCATACTAAACCATGAAGCTATAGATAAAAATGGAGGCCACACTCCGACCGAATACCTACTTGAAGCACAACCTATGTATCACTATCTCGCTCTCTGTGGGCAGACTCTCTCTTTCTAAATAAACAAAAAATATAAATTTGCTCAAAGTCAATGAAACTCAATGTAAAATCTTTATTTCTTGACATAGGTATCATTAAATGATAAGTACTGGTAAAACGTTTTAGGAAGAAATTACTGTAAGAAATGTTTACAATGATCTAATGTCGGAAATCACGAAATAAACACTTACGCGTGGATTGCGTGGAATCTTAAGTCATTTCCAGAGCCCCGATTACGGTAACTTTTAACGTTTCCAATCCAGACGCACTTCATCGATTCTGCGATACGATTGGTCAAAACAGCTGACGTACGCTGTTGAACGACCAATCGTATCGCAGAATCGAGAAGCGTGTCTGGATTGGAGACGTTAAAAATTACCGTAATCGGGGCTCTGGACACCACGTACTACAGCAACCACGCACTACAAAATTTTGCACCATTTCTTGTGATAAAACAATGATTTATGTTCTGTAAACAACCGCCATGATGGGCCGGATTGGGCCGATGTTGCCACATGGTACCGATTCCCCAGGAACTGGGGATTTCCTGAGGGGAACCCCTGATTCGCCAACACATTAAGCCTAAACGGCCGACAATTTTGTGATTTTTAATTTAACTAGGTAATCGTAGTTCAAATATTTAATTATTTATTTGTTTAACTTCTGATTTGGTTAGTGAATTGGCTATTTCGAAGAATTTACTAGGAGATTTAAATAAGGAGATAGCAATACTACAGTCCACACTAAAAAGAGAGGACGGCCCACAGAGAACGAGATAGAGATAAGTAGGTATTTGACTCAAGTTGTTGTTCCAAGTGTGGCCTCCATTTTTATCTTTAGCTTCATGGCTTCGACTTGAATTTTCCGCATAGTGTACTTGCGCCGGGTTACCTCCACCATATCGAATTACAAATGATCGAAAATCAAAATATCGATCACGTTTCATCGAACGATCAAAATATCGAACGATCAAAATATCAAATGATCAAAATATCAAACGTTCAGAAAATCGAGTTTACAAATTTAATGATCATACGATCACAATATCGAATGATTAAAATATCGGAAAATCAATATAGAGGTTTTAATTAAATGTCATAATTATGATTATGTCATCATCATCATCATTTCAGCCATAGGACGTCCACTGCTGAACATAGGCCTCCTCCTATGACTTCCACATCGCACGGTTGGTAGCGGCCTTAGATTAGATTTTATTAATCTAAGGTAGCGGCCTACATCCAGCGCCTTCCTGTTACCTTTATCAGGTCGTCGGTCCACCTTGTGGGTGGACGTCTCACGCTGCGTTTTCCAGTACGTGGCCTCCACTCCAGAACCTTGCTGCCCCATCGGCCGTCAGTTCTGTGTGTGTGTGCCATGTGCCCTGCCCTATTACTTTTCTCTATAGCCCTGCCCATTGCCACTTCAGCTTGCTAATCCGTCTATGTCAGTGATTTTAATTCGTTTACGTATCTCCGTTATGATTAGGTAATGTAAAAAAAACATTTATTCTTATACACATTTTTTTTATTTCCCACTTTAGGGTGGGTACCATAGTCAACAAGGAACCCTTACCTCCATCTTCATAGTATACTATGCAACGTACAAGTATACTACTTAGTAAGTTGTAAGATTGACTTTCGATATTTTAATCATTCGACATTTTGATCATTCGATAATTTTTGTAAATTCTATATGAACGTTCGATATTTTGATCGTTCGATGAAACGTATTCGATATTTTGATTTTCGATAATTTGTAATTCGATATGGTGGAGGTAACCCACTTGCGCCGATAGCTTTTTTTTAATACAAATTAATTTATTTCACAGAAATACACGTTCATTAGAGTGTATCTTGCCATGACTGGCATGTGAATGTGTGCTTTTTGTTCGATTCCTTCCTTTTCAAGAAAAGGCAGACCATTTTACACTCTCTAATTGTGTTGACCCCTTTTATTTAATTGTGTTGTGATATACCTAATTAAATAAAAGGGGTCATTTCTATTTTGTGCCTTGAGTTCCGGTCAGTTTCGGCTAGTATTATATTAAGGGACAATATTATTTGATCCTCTAAAAACTAATTGATCTTTTTTGTATGTGCACTTTTAAAAATAAATGATGTTTTTTATTATATTTTATCTTTATATTAATTATTGTGTCTATATTAGTTGATCTACGGATAAATTATGAATGATCTTCATTAAAGGTAACATAATATTTATGTTTAACATACTCTTTTAATATATGGTAAACAAAAATAATATTTGATCCTCTTTTTTAGTTATTGATCTTTAATTTTGTTAATTTGATGATTTTTATATCAAGTTTGCCTTTTAATATTGATCACCTAATAAATACATTTCGATCTATGTATAACAACGTTAAAATATATTTTTGATCTAACAAAAAATGTTATTGGTTAATATTTTTAATTAAAAAATATCTTTTAATTTACGCGGTACTTTGTGGTTGAGTGACAATCGTCCATGATCCATCATTGCTTACAGAGCCCCGATTACGGTAATTTTTAACGTCAACAATCCAGACACGCTTCTCGATTCTGCGATACTATTGGTCGTTCAACAGCGTACGTCAGCTGTTTTGACCAATCGTATCGCAGAATCAGAAACGCGTCTGGATTGTAGACGTTAAAAGTTACCGTAATCGGGGCTCTGAGTTGGCTTAGCGGCCAATAAGCCCAATAAGCAAGCAGAATGGTACATTGCCATGTTTGTTTAAATTAAAAGCTTTGCTTAGTTTGGGCTAGAGGCGCTATGTAAAATAATTTCTTACTTCTGACATCCCTGAACCCGACATCATAATTTTTACCTGTTTATTTTTTTCAAATCGCAAGGTTGATTTCCTCTTAGTATACCGATCTCGACCGTGATCAGTGACCATAAAGTCATCTGTCAACGGGTCGATTAGACACGATAAAAGCACTAAACGATATTTGTTTACTTTTAGTGCGACATCGGGTCGTAAGGACCTGATAAGTTTTTTTTTTCCAAATATTTCCTGTATTTGACGAAACAATTGCAAAACAATATTTATCTTTCGTACTACTGAAAAGACCGAATAGGTAGGTATAATATCCATCCCGCACCAACGCATCCAGCACCTAAGGTAAGTATGCTTTTTTAATAAAAAAAAATCTTTGAACATCAAGTGCCTTTAAAAAATAGTTTCCATCCTTTGACTACAACTTAATAAAAATAAGTACCATAACATAATTATTTTGAAGATTATTTGATATAGAAATCAAAATCAAAATCAAAAAATATTTATTCAGTTTAGACCACAAGTGGCACTTATGAATGTAGACAAAAAATAATTTATACAAATCGAATTATTTAAAAAAGTATCACAATATTGAATATTTGGTGCTCATTTCTTTTATTTTTGAGGACCAACAAGTAACGATCAGATATAATTTTTTCATCTCAATTTTTTTTGCGTAGTTCAAAAGAGGTTAAAATATCGATCGATTTTATTTATTTTATGTCTCAAAGAAAGAGGATCAATCATTAAAATAGATGACCATTTAGATTTTTTTATTTGCCGTTTTTGCTAATTTAAAAAGATCATTTAAATACATGCCTTATATTATTATCTGTGGTTTCGGTAAAGATATAGGCGCTTTACTGAGACTTCATAACTAATTAATAATGGACTTTTTGTTGCACTGTTTTGTTTATGGCTCCCATACGTACCTACACGTCGCTAGTGATGATATTACTTTCTTTTTAAAATCGATTCAAAGTATTCAAATCAATCACTTAGCTAAATAATTTTACTAAAGTTTTTAACATAATGTTAAATGTAATTTGTAGGTACATAATATTGATTTATTATTTATTTATATAATGCAAACTCATAATTATTGACAACATTTAAAAATTTACAAGACCCTAAACAAAAATACCGTTTCTTTATTTTCCTGCCCCGAGGTAATTGCGCCGGTTTTCCGTCCAACTCCTGTTTTCGTCCATTTGACCGACTTGCCACAAACATTGTAATAAAAAAAAAAACTTTTTTAAAAACAAGCTTTATCCTGAAATGCAGTTGTACTAAAATGAAAAAAATAATTGTACCTAGCAGGTTCAAAGAATTTCGAAAGCTTGTATCGCGCATGAAATTAATTCCTCTTTTTTTCTGTTTGCGCTACAAGCTTTCGAAATTCTTTGAACCTGCTAGGTACAATTATTTTTTTCTATTACATNTATGTATAACAACGTTAAAATATATTTTTGATCTAACAAAAAATGTTATTGGTTAATATTTTTAATTAAAAAATATCTTTTAATTTACGCGGTACTTTGTGGTTGAGTGACAATCGTCCATGATCCATCATTGCTTACAGAGCCCCGATTACGGTAATTTTTAACGTCAACAATCCAGACACGCTTCTCGATTCTGCGATACTATTGGTCGTTCAACAGCGTACGTCAGCTGTTTTGACCAATCGTATCGCAGAATCAGAAACGCGTCTGGATTGTAGACGTTAAAAGTTACCGTAATCGGGGCTCTGAGTTGGCTTAGCGGCCAATAAGNCAAAATTCATCAGATTTAATGCGAAAAGAACATATTTAGTTTTTCACCCTCGGTAACATTTGTCATGGAATGACCCTAAACTAAGCAAAAATGTTTGCCTGTACAGTACAGTGAGGTAAACGGGTTGCGTTAATGTTCTCCGAAAAATAAGGACGCTGCGCGGGCGCTGGCAAGATAACGATAACTCGAAAGATGTTAATGTGGGGAATCCCTTACTTAAATCGCTAGATACTTAGGTATATCTTTATTTTGTTCCACCAGAAGACATCCAGATAGTAGGCATGAGTGCGACGATCGGCAACCTACCCGAGATAGCGGAGTTTCTATCGGCGCGCGTATTCGAGCGTCACTTCCGACCCGTGGCGCTGGCCGAGTTCGTCAAGCTGGGAGACTCGCTGCACAAACTGGTGGCTAATGATGATGGAGTGGACGCCGTGCTGGAGAGGCAGCTGGCTTATGATGTGAGTGATACTACCTACTTTTTCTTTCTTTATTACTAAAAAAGAAGGTCGGGCCGCATTTTTAGGGTGCTATGCTGCATTACACGTGCTGCAAATGTCATTTATGTTGTGTAACCACACAAAACCGGGAAGCCCTGTATTTCACCAGATGGAAAGTGATGATCAGGCCCAAGCAAAATCGAGCTTCACCCGGAATCCTCAACTACATAGGAACTGTCAGATCTCATCCAACTACCGAAATACAACAGCACTGTAAGCATTGCCCAAAGAAGAAGAATACTAATTCGGGAGTCGTCGTTATATCATCTACTGCTGGACAAAAACCCCACAGATATCCACAACGACCGATAATGCGCTCCACACATTCAGGTGCTTTCCGGGGACAGAAGCAGGAAACTTCTCGGAAAGCGACCACATACCGGAAGACGTAGTGTAGGCAGACCACTAATTCAGAAAACCAACGATCTCTTGAATTCAGTCTTCTTCTTAGTCGGGCACTCTTACCAGAGTGGTCGAGGTACGGTGTGGTGTTCGATGTCATCTCCGAGGGTAGCTCTCCAAGCGACGTGCCTCTATTTCCGACTTCGAATTAATGAGATGTGCGATATGGAAGTCATTGGGGGAGGCCTACGTTCCAGCAGTGGACGTCCTGTGGCTGAAATGATGATGATGATGAAGTAAAAAGATAATTCGTCGGCAGTACTCGTCGGCGGCCACGACGATGGATCCAGACCTGCTAGGCGGGCTGGTATCAGAGGTGGTGCCACGCGCCAGCTGCCTGGTGTTCTGCCCCACCAAGCGGAACTGCGAGAACGTTGCGGCATTGCTGTGCAAGCTGCAGAGAAGGTATTCAGAACTTTAAAGGCAGTGGGAATACAGGGTGTTAGGTAAATGGGTATATGAGCCGACACTAGCCCATGTTAACATGGGCATATAAATGGTATGGTGAAGTCAGAAAATTGATATCTTCATTTTAATTATTTTAATTTTCATACAAATCGGATTTAATAAAATTTNTTTTAAATTTATAATCAAAATCTGGTCTGTGTATAGGTAAAGTAAAAAAAATTAAAAGACAACGGCAAAGGTCAGTATTTTTACTGTGATGGTAATGACGTTTAGTGCGTGTTTTCTTGATTATCGAAATAACTTGAAGTATTTAATCAATATGGATCATGGCACCTTATGTGGAAACTTGTATGAATCGTTATTCAGAAGTTTAATTTACCAGAACTACAACAGTTTTTTTTTTATCGATCGGAACATAAGTTTTTTACTGTTTCGCGGATTTACCCATGAATTAAAAAAAAAGATTGAAATGTCAAAAGTTTTGTCAAAACAACAATTAACAATAATTTGCGCACGAAAACAGAAACTTTTTTCAGAAATTATTAGTATTTTGCCGGCATTTTACTGGATTTATACAAAACTTACCATTATTATTATGAAACATGGTACCATAAGTATAATTCAAATAATAAAATGAGCTCCAGGCATGAAAGTGTTCAGGAAAACACTTCTACACCAAAACGACGTCGACTTGGTACAGGTAGAATTTTGAGGCTGAATAAGACTAATAAAGAAAACAGTTTTCTACTTTCCAATCATAGCCCTATTTATCGAAGAGTTACTGCTACTGTTAGACCTGAAGTATGTGAATCACCACCATTGCCTTCTAACCAAATCAAATATCTGCATGATTCACGAAATAGCAGTTCCAGTGACATCCCATCATCCCCTGGAGTTTTTGAGAAGAATGACGAACATTGGGAGTCTTTATCATCGACTAACCTGGATGATTTGTGTAAGAGCGAAGTTTCAGCTCATAAAAATGTGTCTGAAATTGAAGACATATCGGATGATATGTTTCAGTCCAGATTGGAGCAGGAATCAAGCCAGGTAAAACCAGAATCTCAATTAAATGTACCTATAGGCATTAATCAGACTGATTTTGATACTCAGCTCAAAGAATCAAGTTTTATAAGTGGTAGTAAGTTGTTAGATTTAAGCCTAGAAACAAAATCAGAAGAGAATCAAGACATGAATGAATTATTAACTTCAAAATATGAAAAGCATTTTAGAGATAATCTTGAGGAGAGTTTTGAAATGGTTAATCAATCCATTTGTGGTATACAAGAAGAAACTAAGAAATCAGACAGGAGCTCATTATTTGTAACTAGGGATTCTTTTTTACTTGATATAAGAGAAAGTGGTATGATAACAAGTGAAAAAAACAGTAATCATGAGTTTGTAAAACCTAAGACTCCTATGAAAGACATTAACAGTGACAATGGGTTCTATGGGCTGCCGATAGTAACAAAAAGCTTGTTCAAGACATACAGGAATATTGAAAAGTTTTATGGTTAGTATTAACATTAATCCTTTTCTTGTGATCTTTTTTGAAATTTTGATGAAGATATGACATTTATCACATGTAAAGTAAATTACTTGAGACTTCATTTTAAATCCTGATTAAGACAGCATATTCTGTAACCTATGGTAAACTTTACAAATCTCCAGCATCTATCTAGCACAATTACATTATTATTATTGGTTTTGGGCCTTCATTTGCGCCATCTCGACCAGGTTTGATCTATTGTGGCAGCCCTTGTAGCACAATTACATACTATGGGTCACTTATTAGGACTCTTTTTTTATAGACTGGCAAGAAGAATGCTTGAACCTTGATGCCATTAAAGAGAGACGTAATCTGATCTATGCGCTCCCTACCAGCGGTGGCAAGACTCTTGTGGCTGAGGTGCTGATGCTCCGGGAAGTATTAAACAGGAAAAAGAATGCCCTATTTATCCTTCCCTTTGTAGCCATCGTGCAGGAGAAGGTAAATGTACCTAATTATATTTTTTATTGTTCATTAATTTCTACTCAGAAATCAATAAGTACCTATCTATACTAATATTATAAAGAGGAAAGATTTGTACCTATTTTTGTATGTTTGTAATGAATAGGCTCAAAAACCACTGAACGGATTTTGATAAAACTTTACAGTATTATTGTTCATAATCCAGAATAACATATAGGCTATAATTTATGACTATATGTGACAAACGAAATTTCACGCGTGCGAAGCCGCGGGCGGAAAGCTAGTAATTTATATTCTTGCTTGGTTTGATTCAGATTTGGGCCCTATCACCCTTTGCAATAAAGTTGGATTTTCTGGTGGAGGAGTATGCAGCAGGAAAGGGTCACTTGCCTCCCAAAAAGAGGAGGAAAAAGAAGAGCATTTACATAGCCACCATTGAGAAGGGGCTGGCTTTACTCAGAAGCCTCATTGAGTTGAACCGGCTAGATGAACTTGGGCTTATTGTGGTATGTTTTAAAGTTCTTTTAGCTTTGTCTTTCACCACACAGTTGTTCTTTACATTATTATAGGTGTCATTTTTTACAGGTAGATGAGCTACATCTAATAGGGGAACCAGGTCGAGGTGGGACCTTGGAAATTCTGCTCACTACTGCCATGTTTGCTAGCAGTAAGTATCTTGGTAAATACTTGGAAATTAAAGATAGGTTTAGGCCTGCTCCACACTAGCGTCTTTCGAACGTCGTCGTATCACCAGCGTCTGTGCAGCTTTCGCTGACGCCAACGCTAAGCACAGTCAGGTAAAGGTGTTACGTTACTTGTCCGAAAAAAGCGACACAGCGCGGGCGCTGCCAAGACGATGACACTCAAAAGTTGCTAGTGTGTTGGTCCCTCTCTCAAATCGCAAGATACTTAGGTATATCTATATTTTATTCCACCAGAAGACATCCAGATAGTAGGCATGAGTGCGACGATCGGCAACCTGCCCGAGATAGCGGAGTTTCTATCGGCGCGCGTGTTCGAGCGTCACTTCCGACCCGTGGCGCTGGCCGAGTTCGTCAAGCTGGGAGACTCGCTGCACAAACTGGTGGCTAATGATGATGGAGTGGACGCCGTGCTGGAGAGGCAGCTGGCGTATGACGTGAGTAATAATAAAATGAAGTACTCAAAATCAAAATCAATCAAAATCAAAATTATCTTTATTTGTTTAGACTAATTAAATTAGTTCTTGCAAATCGTCAAATGCTCTTAAGGAGCCTATACATGTCTCATTCTTTTTTTGCCCTACCAGCGCTTCGCTTCGCTACTCACAGACAAAAGAGAAAAAGAGAAGTTCATTAAAGAGTTCATGTTGTGTAACCTCACAGAACCGGGAAGCACTCGGCCTGAATGACGACATGATGGAAAATTATGATCAGTCTGAAGTGGAATCGAGTTTCACTCGAAAGACCAAAGAGCAACTGGCTATCACTCCTCCGACTACCGAAACACAATAAAATTCGACTCAACTGTTCCAATACTAATCCAGGAGTCGTCGTTATAACATCTATAGCTAGAAAAAGGCTCCACGGATTTCCACAACGATCGGACCTATGCTGCCCGCATCCAGGTGCTTCCCGCAACCAGCAGTCCTCAAGTGGCCTTGGCCACCAGCCGAAAACATAGTGTAGGCAGCCTCTTACTCAGAAGACCAACGGTCTGTCAGAAGTCTTCTTCTTAGCCAGTCGGACACTCTTGTCAGAGTCGTCCCGGTTACGCTGACTAGGTACACGGTGGGGTGTTCGATGTCATTTCCGAAAGTAGCTCTTTTGGCGATGTGCCTCCATTTCCGACTTCAGAAGTAAAGAGATGTGCGATATGGAAGTCATTGGGTGAGGCCTAGTTCAGCAGTGGACGTCCTGTGGCTGAAATCTTCTTCTTCTTTTTTTCGTGTCGACAACAAACCTACACAGTGTCAGCCCAAAACTCCACACAAGAGTAGCGTTGTCAGTAGCACTCATCAAATCCTCCTGAAATGATGATGATGATGAAGTCAAGAGATGGTTTGTCGGCAGTATTCGTCGGCGGCCGTGACGATGGATCCAGACCTGCTAGGCGGGCTGGTATCAGAGGTGGTGCCGGGAGCCAGCTGCCTGGTGTTCTGCCCCACCAAGCGGAACTGCGAGAACGTTGCGGCATTGCTGTGCAAGCTGCAGAGAAGGTATTCAGAACTTAAGCTTCTTATAAATAAATAAATAAATCCTTTATTTAACCAAGGCACGACCAAGGTTACAACTTATTTTGCTAGTGGTCCCCAAACTAGGTTACACCTGTCTCTTGGGGACTGGAGTACGAGGCTTGAAGTTAAATAAGGCAGTGGGAATGTTCTCACCATCGTTCGTTCGTTCGTTCGTTTCAGCCAAATGACGTCCACTGCTGGACAAAGGCCTCCCCCAAGGTTTTCCACAATGAACGGTCCTGCGCTGCCCGCATCCAGGCTCTTCCCGCGACCTTTACCAGATCGTCGGTCCACCTAGTAGGAGGCCTGCCCACGCCACGTTTTCCAGCCCGTGGTCGCCACTCGAGAACTTTCCTGCCCCAACGGCCATCGTCTCTACGAGCTATGTGCCCCGCCCACTGCCACTTGATTTTAGCAATTCTGCGAGCTATGTCGGTTACTTTGGTTCTCCTACGGATCTCCTCATTTCTGATTCGATCACGCAGGGAAACTCCGAGCATAGCCCGCTCCATCGCCCTTTGGGTGACCTTTCACCATATTTTAAAGTTAATTCACTTGTCAAAAATAATTAAAATTATGAACTTGGTGTGCTCTGTAAAGGGCTAGATAGAAGAAAGCTTTGCATTGCAGCAATAAAATGTGACCCTTGAAGCCTCAGGATTAATCTTTTCATAAAAAGGTCAGTCTTCAATTAACTCTGAATCACGCTGCATCATTTGCAGCGTATAGTAGCCATTTTGTTTTAAACCTTATTCCAATAACAACGAAAATTTTTCTTGCTGTGCCTATCAAAAGGCCCTAGTCCAGCACTCCTGAAGTACTTTATTTACCAATAACTTACAAAATTTGAAAAATAACCGAACAGTTTATAGGATTTGTGTTCTTTCAGAGAAATGACATTGCACCGGACAGCCGATCGTGTATCCCTCGCGAGCGCGTTGCGCGCTGAAGGTGCCAGCAGTGACTTAGTAAAGTCCGTCCGCTACGGAATCGCCTTCCACCACGCCGGGCTCGCTGGTGACGAGAGAAGTCTGCTGGAACAGGCTTTTAGGTAAAAACCTTTACTGAAAGTTTTGGAAGTCCTTTGTCACAGTCAACACAAAGATACAAGGTACAGAAGAACCTAGAGGACTATCTAAAAGCCTTGCATAGTCCTTTAGGTTCTTCTGTGCCAGTGCCTTTCTGCCAAAGAGGCAATCGTATTTTGGTGCATCATGTCTGCCAATGTCGTATGGACTTGGTGTATTCTTAATTCCAAGAAATGTATGTAACTTTATGTGGTTAACTTTTGAATTAGTACTGTAATACCGAACTGGGAACCAAGACCAACTTTCAAAATCAAATCAAAATTATTTTATTTAGTTTTAGACCAATATTTTGGCACTTAAGAACGTCAAAAATAAAATAAAAAAGGTAGCCCTTTAGAGGCACTTTAGATGTCTCCTATCTTTTGGACCCTACCAGGCTTGCCCATAAACTACTTTTTCTAAACAGAAACGGCGTAATCTCGGTCCTATGCTGCACGTCAACTTTAGCCGCGGGTGTGAATCTACCCGCAAAGCGCGTGATCGTGCGCGCGCCGCTAGTAGGCCGCGAGTTCATTACGCTGGCTGCCTACCGCCAAATGGTAGGCCGGGCGGGCCGCGCCGGCGTGTGCGAGGAAGGTTGGTTATATTTTTAATGATTTATTGAATTAACATGCATGATGCTGTTGGAAAGTTGAGTGTATGAAATTATTAAGATTTTTGTTTTTATGTAGGATTTTGCATTTTTTTTTTGCAATATTCGCGTACTTATTTCTATCTAAACGGTTTTGTAGCGTATTTACCTTTCCTATTTACAATGTTAGGCTGTGGCCATATTATAAGTATACGTTACCACATTTAAGGCACATGAGCGTAATTTTCATCACATTTTTGAAGCGAGTTTTCAACGTTCCAATCAAGTTTAGTGGCTTCAACTTTAGTAGTTGTGCATAATGATAAATAAGCAGTTCAAAACACACGTCACACTTTACGCCAGTCTAGCCTCAGCCTTAAAAGCTTATTTAACGTGACTGTAATCAGGTGAGAGCATTATAATCTGCGGCGCGCGCGAGTGGCCGCTTCTACGCGGCGTGCTGCGTGGTGGATTACTTGCGGCCGCGTCGCAACTGGCATCCGCTGCGCCTGCGCTCGCGCTCAGCGCGGCTGCGTTGAAACTGGCTCACACACGCGTGGGACTGAGAGAGCTGCTGGCCAGGACGCTGCTAGCGAGGAGGTAACTGTTCATAGCGACTGGTACTATACAGGCATCATCAAAATCTGCGGCCGTTACTATGCGGCGTGCTGCGTGGCGGGCTGCTAGCGGCCGCGTCCCAGCTGGCACCCGCTGCGCCTGCGCTCGCACTCAGCGCGGCTGCGTTGAAACTGGCTCGCACGCGTGTTGGACTGAGACAGCTGCTGGCCAGGACGCTGCTAGCGAGAAGGTGTGTTGATAACGACCGGTACTATACAGGCAGCATCATAATCTGCGGCCGCTACTATGCGGCGTGCTGAGTGGCGGGTTACTTACTGGCTCACACGCGTGTCGGACTGAGAGAGCTGCTGGCAATCACGCTGCTAGCGAGGAGGTAACTGTTGATAACGACTGGTACTATACAGGCATCATCAAAATCTGCGGCCGTTACTATGCGACAAGCTGCGTGGCGGGTTACTTACTGGCTCACACGCGCGTTGGACTGAGAGAGCTGCTGGCTAGGACGCTGCTAGCGAGGAGGTAACTGTTGATAACGACTGGTACTATACAGGCAGCATCATAATCTGCGGCCGCTACTATGCGGCGTGCTGAGTGGCAGGTTACTTACTGGCTCACACGCGTGTCGGACTGAGAGAGCTGCTGGCCAGGACGCTGCTAGCGAGGAGGTAACTGTTGATAGCGACCGGTATTATACAGGCAGCATCATAATCTGCGGCCGCTACTATGCGGCGTGTTGCATGGCGGGCTGCTAGTGGCCGCGTCACAACTGGCACCGGCTGCGTCCGCGCTCGCGCTTAGCGCCGCTGCGTTGAAACTGGCTCACACGCGCGTTGGACTGAGAGAGCTGCTGGCGAGGACGCTGCTAGCGAGGAGGTAACTGTTGATAGCGCCCGGTATTATACAGGCAGCATCGTAATCTGCGGCCGTTACTATGCGACGTGCTGCGTGGCGGATTGCGGCCGCATCGCAACTGGCATCCGCTGCGCCTGCGCTCGCACTGCGCGGCTGCGTTGAAACTGGCTCACACGCGCGTTGGACTGAGAGAGCTGCTGGCTAGGACGCTGCTAGCGAGGAGGTAACTGTTGATAACGACCGGTACTATACAGGCGAGAGCATCATAATCTGCGGCCGTTACTATGCGACGTGCTGCGTGGCGGGTTACTTGCGGCCGCGTCACAACTCGCGCCCGCTGCGCCCGCGCTCGCGCTCAGCGCGGCTGCGTTGAAACTGGCTCGCACGCGCGTTGGACTGAGAGAGCTGCTGGCCAGGACGCTGCTAGCAAGGAAGTAATTGATGTTTGATCTTTACCCAAATAAAAAATATTTTCATTGGTTTTCAAATTGATATGACCTGGTTAAGTGGTAAATATGCTGTCATATAACTAAGGCAAGGGCACAAATGCCAAATCTGAATTGTGCACGAGTGATCGCTTTGACGCAGCTATCTTATACCACCCATTCGTTAACAAACATTACGAAAATATTACCACTACTGCCACAGGCAACATTTACTGCTGCAACCTGGTAGCTAAAGCTAACTGTGATTGGAGATGCTACGAAATTAACGAAAAGAACTCATACAATCGTCATCTCAACAGTTCGGAAGTGGACGTGAAGCAGCTCTGCGACGATTCCATTCGCAGCCTCATCCAGTCGGGCGCTCTACAGGTAGCGGGCGGAGAAAGAGACCCTGACGATACTACGTGCTACGTGCGGGATGACGACGAGTTGGTCGTCAGCAAGCTGGGTCGAGCGGCTATCAAAGGTTCGTGCTGTGTTTTGACTGTAGTAAGGCCCAGAACACACGGTGAAACGCAGTTGACCAGTTCAAACCGGTTTCAAACTGGTCGCGTCGTGTGGTATCTCAACGGACGCTATGGCAGAACTCAAAAGTAACTAGAAGTTGCAGTATCGTTGCAGTAGCGTTTCACCGTGTGTTCTGGACCTAAGGGTTAGAATTACTGGTTACAATGCCCTGACCAGATCGTCGGCATCTCGAAAGGGAGAAGCCAGCCTATATCTTCTGGTTCTAGCACTTTTCTGCCCCAAGGGCCATCAGTTCTTCTCGTACAGAAATATTCAGCCATTACGATGATGTTAAGTCGACGACCTGATAAAGGTCAGGAAGGCGCTGGATGCAGACCGATACCAACCGTGCGATGTGGAAGTCATTGGGGGAGGCCCATGTTCAGCAGTGGACGTCCTGTGGCTGATATGATGATGATGTTAAGGCGTATGTTCAAGAAGAATTATGCATGAAAGACACACCATTTCGAAGTTTGCTGACCTCAACCATTTGTAGCTAATTGTGTACAAACTGTAGTGATCACAAATACAAAACGATTTACCCCCTTACTAATAAAAAGTTACACAGTTGTTGAGCACTGTTTTAAAATGACATTTCCATACTAAACGTCACTTTAAAACACTGTTCAACGAGCGTGTAATTTTTATTAGTAAGAGGGTTAGTTAATAATTACTTGTTGGCTAGGATGCATGGATCTTAGCACCGCCAAACAGCTGCTTGAAGACCTGAAGGTGGCTTCGCAAGGCCTGGTGCTGATGGGCAGCCTGCACCTCATCTACCTGGTCACACCACATGACGCGGCTAGCATCAGGCCCGACTACAGGCATTATTACACCTTGGTAAGGTTCAGAGCCCGTTCTAACACTCACTGATATATCGAACACCAGCAGACAGTGACCGAGTTATTTGGGGTACCTATAGCAGTTTGTAGTTATAAATCTTGTTTGTTTTAGTATGGGACTCTAGATGAAGAGGGCTTGCAAACGGCAAAAATACTGGGAATCACAGAAATGAACGCCATCAGGATGATGACCGGAAAACCTATTACGGTAAGTAGATTCAGTTACCATTTATCAAGGCTTTCATAAAATAAAATTGCGGATGATTTAGTTTTCGAATGTTATTCTAGAATGTTCCGGAGCGAGTGTTGTGCCGGTTCTACTTAGCGCTGATGCTGCACGACCTTTGGAAACAAGTTCCCTTTCCAGCAGTTGCAGATAAGTAAGTTCTCCATAATTTGGCCATGTGTTTATAATCTTTGTATTGACTTTGCTCTTGAATCCTTAAATATGTCTTCAGATACTGTCTCCCTCGTGGTACAGTGCAGTCCGTAATGGCAAGTGCGTCATCGTTCGCGTCGTGCGCGCATAAAGTTTGCGAGGAGTTGGATTTGCGCTGGTTCACACCGCTCATGCAAGAACTAGCATCTCGCCTGCAGCACTGTGCAGCGCCAGAATTACACCAGCTGATGGAATTGCCAGCTGTTAAAAAGGTACATAGATTGTAACTGCTATAAGCTACGCGCACAATCAAGTTTCTAACTGTAAAGAAANACGAAGTTGTCTAACCTTCCGCCAAACACCTGTATGTTACGGTAAATGTGATAAATTGAAAATTACGAAAAATCGCCGGTTATTATTAAAAAAGTGATAAATGTGAAATTATTCATAATAACCGGCGATTATTCATAATTTCACATTTATCACTTTGACCGTAACATGTATAAAACTAAATAGGCGGCTTAGGGCCGCCGCACCTATTTTTATTACCAACCTATTTTTCACTTTAAATCAAAACAATATGTTATGGGCATGCATTATGGAAAAGTAATGTTAACAAAAAACAGTTTAAAGTCATTATGCCAAATTATAATAATATATGACATCAAAATGTGTATCTGTAGTCTGTACACAAGCGCTGTACACGAGCCGGTGTTCTCTTTTTATGATATTTGTTAGTATTAAGGTTACATTATTAAATAATCATTGATAAATGTGATTAATTTATCACTTTTACCTTTTTGTGTACTTTTTTGTCGGTAATTATTAATAATAACCGGCGATTTTTCGTAATTTTCAATTTATCACATTTACCGTAACATACAGGTGTTTGGCGGAAGGTTAGATNTAACTACTTATTTACCTCTCAGTGGCTTGAGGCAACTTAAAAAGTACATTCTGTGTTTTTATTATTATTTAGGCAGTTAAATACTGCACAGTATTTAGTACACCATTTTCTTCCATCATACACAAGAATACGCGCGCGTGAGTCAATGTTCACTTGTATGTGAGGCCTTGTCGAATAGTATCCTGTAGGTGGGCCATCGTGCGTTTTTTGTTTTCGATGTAAACTCGCAGAGATGAACAGGCCTGACACTACGCCGATTCGATTTGGCCGATTCTTCATACAATTTAAAATCGGGCACAACTATCGGCCAACTAAAAATCAACGGTGTGCGCCTACTCTTAGAATTACTGGTTACGATGCCCTGACCAGATCGTCGGTACCTCGAAAGGGAGAAACCAGCCTGGTTCGAGCACTTTTCTGCCCCAAGGGCCATCATTTCTTCTCGCACAGAAATATTCAGCCATTATGATGTTAAGCGGACGACCTGATAAAGGTAGCAGAAAGGCGCTGGATGCAGGCTGCGACAAATCGTGTTATGTGGAAGTCATTGGGGGAGGCCTATGTTCAGCAGTGGAAGATGATGATGATGATGTTGATTGTTGAAGCGTATGTTCAAGGAGAATTGTGCATGAAAGACACACCATTTCGAAGTTTGCTGACCTCAGCCATTTGTACCTAATTGTGTACAAACAGTAGTGATCACAAAAGCAAAAAGATTTAGTCAATAATTAATTGTCGGCTAGGATGCATGGATCTCAGCACCGCCAAACAGCTGCTTGAAGACCTGAAGGTGGCTTCGCAAGGCCTGGTGCTGATGGGCAGCCTGCACCTCATCTACCTGGTCACGCCGCACGACGCGGCTAGCATCAGGCCCGACTACAGGCATTATTACACCTTGGTAAGGTTCAAAGCACGTTCTAACCTGTCATTATTACACACTGTAAAACAGGGTTCGAAAATATCCGATATTTATTATAAATATCAAAATATCGGATATTTATGATATATATCCGATATATATCAACTTTGATATATATCAAATTTGTATGAAAGCTATACTATTATTTTATTGTATTATTTATGAATACCATTGCAAATGTGTCACATAAACATGTTTTTAATGTTTTTAAAACTTAAAATCAGACAAATAAAGCAAAAACATAAAATCTTCTTGTAAAATCGGCAAAATCAACTAAAAAACAAAAATCTTATGTGAAAAAGTACAAATACAGTTACAAATTTTAAAAATTGATATATAGCATCAAAACCGGCTGGATATATATCGGATATATATCCGATATATATCAAGATATATATCCCTCGATATATATCCTCGAACCCTGCTGTAAAACCCTGGTTTTCCTAAATAAATAAATAAAATAAATAAATAAACACTTGCGGATAAAATCAGGCTCGGTTTTCTTTCATCAAAACGGAGATATAACAACACCAAAGTACACTAAAGTCATTAAATAATAAATTTTTTATTTTTGTTCCTTGTTGTTATAATTACCCGTTACAAATTGTGACTTTATGTATTTTGTAAAGAGAGAAATAAATAAAGTTATTATTAAATAATAAATTGAAACCATTAAAACAGATCGACCATGCTTCCCGTTCAACTACCCTCCACGGAAATCCTTCCTCTGTGTTATATTGCCATAATTATAATGTGTAATATTTGCTTTAGTATGGGACTCTAGATGAAGAGGGTTTGCAGACGGCAAAGATACTTGGCATTACAGAAATGAACGCCATCAGGATGATGACCGGAAAACCTATTACGGTAAGTAGATTCAGTTACCATTTATCAAGGCTTTCATAAAATAAAATTGCGGATGATTTAGTTTTCGAATGTTATTCTAGAATGTTCCGGAGCGAGTGTTGTGCCGGTTCTACTTAGCGCTGATGCTGCACGACCTTTGGAAACAAGTTCCCTTTCCAGCAGTTGCAGATAAGTAAGTTCTCCATAATTTGGCCATGTGTTTATAATCTTTGTATTGACTTTGCTCTTGAATCCTTAAATATGTCTGCAGATACTGTCTCCCTCGTGGTACAGTGCAGTCCGTAATGGCAAGTGCGTCATCGTTCGCGTCGTGCGCGCATAAAGTTTGCGAGGAGTTGGATTTGCGCTGGTTCACGCCGCTCATGCAAGAACTAGCATCTCGTCTGCAGCACTGTGCAGCGCCAGAATTACATCAGCTGATGGAACTGCCCGCTGTTAAAAAGGTACATAGACTGTAACTGCTATTAGATACGGGCACTATCAAGTTTCTAACGAAATAAACAAGTGGTCCAAAATGGATGCCTTGAAGAGCTCCTAAAGTGCAATACGTATAATGTAAATTATATCGGGTAAGTCTCTTCTAGCGTACTTAGTTGGTGATACGCCTGGATGCTTAGTAGGATTGAAGTTAAGGTCAATTGACTTTTTTATTTATTTAGGCTGAGTTGCGTCATCTTACTATAACAGTATATACGGTGTTTTATGGAGTTTGGCAGACTTTTGACGCTAAAGTAAGATGGTGCAACCCAGCCAAGTGTTTTATTTACAGGCACGCGCTCTGCAACTGATGAGAGGCGGTTACAAGCGGATCGAAGACGTGGCGAAGGCTTCCGTAGACGACCTAGTGGGAACCGTAGACCACCTGTCTAGGACTGCCGCTACACATCTCATCAGTGCTGCTAGGGTATGTTCAAATGATAGGGATAATATAGCGAGAGTTCGTGAAGAAAGAGATGAAAAGACTGGACGAAACTGTAAGATTGTTTTTGAAAATCAGGCGAATACTCTATTGTTTTTACCTTTTTTCCAGATGATGCTGATAGAGAAGGTAGAAAACCTCAGGGCCGAGGCTGAGGACGTCATGGAAGAGCTTAACTTGTGATAATCATGATTAATGTGATAGTAAACTATTGAACCAAGCATTAGGTCAAATCGAGAAAACAAACATGGATCTTATTTAGGCCTTTTTCTTTCTATACTGAAAGGAAATTAATGTAAAGTAACAAAACTACAACTTGATTTCTTATCTGTATAAAATTGTCAATGGATTTACCAATGGATTTGTTTTTGTTACCAAAAGTTTGTTCATAAATGCATTCATTTTTTTCCACAATTATTTTAATTTTAAAACAAATAAATTGGCTCATATTATATTATTAAATTATTATCATAGAAAAAATAATTGAAAAATATGTTTAAATGGAAATAATAATGAGATAATGATAAAATAATTTTATCAGATTTGAGAGCTGTAAATAATGTAGTAAGGGTAATAAATATGGAAAATGTATTTTGTCAAAGATGTAAATATTACAAATAAATCAGTTTATGAAATGAATTTTTTTCCATTATCTCGTTCATCATGTTGAAAAAAAAATACTGCATAGAATTGAATTCTAATTCTTTATTGTCAAAAAATAATTTACAATAATGTACATATTTAATCACCGTTTTTTATACAAACAGGGTTTGAGTGTCAACGTCGGTAGTTTGGATTTCTTCGCGGGCGGGTCGCGCACCTTTGTGAACTCCATGAAGAAGAATACCTAGTGGAAAATTACTAGTTAGTATTTTAACATTTTAAAAATTAATTTTACTTTTTTCAATAGGTTTACGGTTGGTACACTAGGGGCTCAAACTGAATAATGAAAATAATGCTATGGGTTTTATTGATGAAACTCACCTGATGGCTTTTGTCTAGGTTCTTGAGCTTGAAGCCGAGACGCTGGACAAGGTCTGTAAAGTTTTCCACCTTGTCAAAGCGACTTTCCACTTCTGCTATAAGAAGATGCCCACTGAAAAAAGTTTATACTGTTATTCTAGTCAAGATACTTTAAAATTAATTACTAGAGTATTCATTCAAAATCTTATAGTCATTTATTGTAATAATCCTTTAAATATTGTATAAAATATTTCCAGATCCCAACTACAAACCCAACTTTCAACACCCTATTAGCTTCCACAAGGTACTGCGTTAGGTCCGTCCCCATCAGGGCCAGGCAGTACACGGCGGCATCCACGGAATCGCTTAGCAGCGGCGTATGCGCCATGTCGCAAGCCTCCACGCCCGGCACACTCGCTACCAGGTCGAAGGACCGAACAGTCTGTTGGACCCTCTTAGAGAGGGCAGCTTCACCGCAACCCATGTCTGCTATGACGTGAGTTTTGGGCCTGGTAACAAAGATATTTAGTTTAAAAAACAGATATTTATTGTGCAGTGTAGAAACCGACAAAGAAATACAAATGGGATCAATAAATTACGCAACACGTTTATAAAAAAAAATAAAAATAAAAATAAATGTCTTTGGACATTTTACACTGCGCTTCTAGTCCCAAACTAAGCAAAGCTTGTACTATGATGTACTAGACAACGGATATAAACATACTTAAATACTTTTTTTTTTTGTAAATACATACTTATTATACATAGAAAACACCCAGTCCAATACAAACAAATATGTTCATGCACACAAATGTTTGTACTGTGCGGGAATCGAACCCGCTACCTCCGGAATAGTAGTCCGTTTTGAACCACTACACCAAACGGCCGACAAAAGGGGGAGGTGGACCAAAAGGCAATGATCATGAAATTCGTATGATGTAAATTATGGATGCCTCCCAATATAGATGGTCTTATGGAAACAATCTCTTCCAGACAACCCTGGGAGAGAACAATGTAATGTTCAGATAGGTAAGGTTTTTTCTTTGTATGCCTCATCAAGTGTTCTCAAGCAACATGGTTTTTTAAAACATCAACCTTACATTTTAGATATCCTTTTGACTATCAAGTCTAGTGGATTCACTGGCCATTTCTTCAACTGCTGCTGGTATCCTTGGTGGTAAGTGTGGAATGCCTCTGGGTCTGATTGGAACAACTGCTGTGCTTCGGATCCTGATGTTGTGTACAGTTTCTCATTTAGGAACCTGAATTGGGCAGCTAAAAGAAACAATAATTTTCAGTTATTATTTTTTACTTGGCTGAAGTAATTTCTAGTGTCAATGTATATCATGATACTAGGAGCATACTAGAGCACAGGATGGGTAAGAAATTTCTGGAGGTTTAGCCAAAAAAGAAAAGAAAATTTAAATAGTAATTACATTAACCTTTCAGCCGTTCCAACATCCTTTGTCTAAGGTTCTCTCCACTAACATTTATAGGGTTTCTGTTGGTTCCTACTTGTAATAATTTTCTAAACTTCTCTTTCTTTTTATCGACTTTAGTCATATAAGGAATTGTCTTTGTTTCAGTTTCTGGATCTTCGTCTTGGTTTGCTTTTTTCTTCTTCGTTGGCACCATATTTGATGAATCGTGATCATCATTGAATTTCTTCTTTTTGGGTTTGCTAGGGTTACTGATATCAATACCATCGTCTATGCTTTCCTGCATTTGGCTGTCATTTGCAGAAGTGGATTCATGGAGTTTTGCCTTCCTTTTCTTGGACTTTTTCTTAGGCTTATCTAAAGAATTTACTTGCTTACTATCACTTCCTTTTGAATTCCCATTGAACTGTGGTTGATTATTATTTACACTAGTTTTAATGGGGCTGTGTTGCTGTTCGTTTGGTGCTATATTTGGCTGCTTAGCAATCTTCTTCTTTTTATTCTTTACAGCACTGTTGTTTCTGACCTGATTTTTGAAATCACTTGAACCATTTATATTTGGCTGGCCAAGTGCGCTTTTGTTTTTGTTAAATTTTTTCTTATTACTTTTAGAATGTTTCTTATTATTTTTCACACCTTCAGTTCTCGTGTCTTGTTTCGAGTTTTGTGGAGGCTTCAACTGTTCAACAAACTTCTTTTCTTTTTTGTTCTAAAAAAAAATTATAGGTTAGTTACTGAGACCAAATAATTTGATACTAATGTTATGTTACATTTAAATATAAACAAAAACATTTTTATTAGAATTGATACGTTGAAAATGTAGACGTATTACATGTATTCTATCTACCTAAGGCATTGGAAATTCTGTAATAAAATGTAAACAAACCAACCTTGCTTGTTTTGCCAAAGTCAACATTACTCTTTGGTACGTCGTCTTCCCAGTTTGGAATTTTAAACATTTTGCTTATGAATATTTCAATCAATTCGGCTTACATAAAATACTATTGCCGCCGTTATTCACAAAAAAATACCTAAACATATCAAAACATAACCTAACTTTTATGCGACTGACATGCGAATTCTCACTCACAAATGTCAACGTCATTATTTTGTGACCACACTTCTGTCAAGTTGACAATGCGTTTTGTTCTTAGTTCCATAACTTATTATTTCTTGTTATTTCTACTTAATCATGAAAAAAAAAAAATATAGGGTGTTCAGAATTGTTTTACCACCGGTTCGATACGTTGCCAAAATTCGTGAGGCGTTTATAATAATAATAATAATAAAGCCTTATAAAGGACCGGGCCACTTTTGACCCGTGAGCTCCAAAGCGTACAAACATAATAATAATAAAATGTTTATTGCCATTAAATCAATGTACAGAGTATTCTTATAACTAGCGGCTTCTGCACTAAGCATAGCTTGTGTCGCAGGAGCCTTTTAGTTTTTACAAGAAGATCTTTACTTTGGGGTCTGAGAACACACAAGTCAGGCAATTTATTGCTATAAGAAATTAAGATTAAAACATAATAATAATAGTAACAAAGCTTACATTAATGATAATGGTATTAGTCTCTATTAAAGGATGACAAGTAAAATTACATCTTAAGTAATTATGTAGGTAGGTATTNGGTTAGATAACTTCGTATTATATTCGTAGGGTAAGTGCGCTAGTTTTCGTCCAATTATAATTATCGGAGTTGCCAACTTTGTGATGCGAAATGAATATCTTAAAACACCCTTACTCATATGTTATCATATGTCGTTTTAGTTCTTATATAGTCTACTTTACGTTAATATTATATGACAATAAGTAAATACCACGGGTTTTTTATAAAAAAATATTTTATGCAAAAGAGGCGATTTCACTAGTTTTCGTTCTAGTGCACGCTAGTTTTCGACCACTGTGTATAAAAAAGGGTGCAGTTGAATTATTAACTTAAAACCATTTCTACAATACAATAACTATGGATTGTGGTATATCATTTGAAAGGTAATTTTGTTAGCTTTCAAACAAATGATATCAAAAAGATTTAAATAAGCTTCTTACCTAAATTTAGGAAAATATTGCAATAGGTCGAAGGATAAATGGACGAAAACTAATCAACAGAAATAGCTAATTTTAATTTTCGTCCACCCCAGTGCTTGTTCATGGAGTCATGGATGAAAACACAACAACGCTTAAAGCTGTTTTTTGTTTTCGTCCACATCTTTTTAACGGTTTTTATGGGTTAATTACTGTTAAAAAGTGGACGTAAACTAAAATGTTTTATGTAAGGGTTTCCGTCCACGTGGACGAAAACAAAAATCTTGCAAAATTTTTATGCTAGTATTAGTCCACTTAAATTATCTAAGATTTCCATACAAAAACTAATAAACCCTTAAAATAGTGTTTATTATGCTAATAATTAGACATACGTGCCAATAACATTACGTAAAGTAGCTAAAACCACAAAATATAACAGAAGGTAAACTCCATACTAAGCGCGCTCGAGCCACGCACACATAGACACCGCTCACGTACGCGTTATTAAGACTGTCTTGGACGAATGCAAGGCGCGACTGCGTTCGCTTGAGTGACGCTGCTCACGCGTTCCTAAAATTATTTTGTTTGTGCGAAAATTAGTGAACAACAAAAAAGGGGTATTATAACATTTGTTAAGTAGACGGTTGCTTACACTCAACATTAATAACTAAATTTTCGTTTTTGAAACTAACGGTTGATTCCGGGAGGTAAGTAAGGTATTTATTTGTATTTCAATAGTTCGTTTAACGTTGACAAATTGAAAGCCAACTCAATTATTAGGAATATCGAATTGTTTTAGAGAGGTTTTAGGAATTATTGGATAATAGTGTCAACCACTCAACTAAATACTACTTCCTTCTCGTG